GGGCTCGATCCCAGGACCCTGGGATCATGACCTGAGCTGAAGGCAGACGCTTAACCGACTGAGCCACCCAGGCGCCCCTACCTTTTAATATTTTATATCAAGGTGAATAGTATATAATTATTCTTAATTGAAATAAACATTTCCTCCTTTCATTTTACCATGCAAAGAATTGCACAGACTATGAGATAAGAGGAACAATTAAAATAACTGTATGGGGGTGCCTGGTGGCTCAGTTGGTTAAGCGTCTGCCTTTGGCTCAGATCATGATCCCGGGGTCCTGGGATCGAGCCCGCATCGGGCTCCCTGCTCGGTGGGAAGCCTGCTTCTCCCTCTCCTTCTGCCTGCTGCTCCCCCCCGCTTGCGTTCTCTCTCTGACAAATAAATAAAATCTTAAAAAAATAATAATAAAACAAAATAACCTGATTACTTTATTTTGCTATCAAAGATCACAAAAAAAAATTAGCGTTGCTTCTTCAGGAAACCAAAATAACATGCAACGATGAAAGTTTGTCTACAATCAGTGCCCTCATTTGAAGGGGGAAAATACTTATTTTTCATAACTATAAGTTTCATTTATAGTAATTCTTTCACTTATTTAATTACTGAATACTTCTTTAGTAACAAGTCCTCATGGGAGGTAAGGGGGGTATATATATGGAGAGAGAAAAGTGTTTTTGGACAAAGGGACCAGCATATGTGAGGGCCAGAAGTGGCAAAAGTAGAAATCAGCTGTGAAACTGACCTATGTTTTCAACAGTTAAAATTTCTCTATGGGTTTAATTTCACACACGCTGCTTATTTTGCCTCACTTTCTCTGGTGCTTGGAAGCAGGAATTCACAGCAAGGCACAACGGCTTACTCAGCCTGAGACTCATCACTAACAGGTCAGCTCGGCGTTCTCACGCCCAGCTAATCCCAGAAAAAAAATAAGAGGTCATTATCTGGCTAATTTGATCTTGACAGTTCAGTTTTGGTTCAACAAATGTTTATTAACATTTCCTCTGTGCCAGACGTTATCCTAGGTGCTAGGTATTGGGAATACAAAGATTTGACCACAACCTTTAAAAGTAACTAGCTAAAAGGGAACAGAGATCCTGAAACAGCTAATTCCCACACAGTGCAGCAGGAGTGAAGACAGAGGTATGGAGACGGTAATGAAAAACACAGGAAACGGCACCCAATCCAACCTGGGAAACAATGCAAGAAGTGATTTTATACGAAGACTTGAAAGATCAGGAGGAAAAACAGGAAGAGGCTCTAAGAGTGTTCAGAAATAGCATGAATAAAGATTTCAAGTTTGAAACTAGTAGTCTGGTACGGTCTGAAAGTAAAGGGTGTCCATGGTGGGGGGGTTGGGGGGAGTGCTGTGGTTGATTAATTTGGTTTAGAATTTAGAATTTACTCAATTAGAGGTTAACAGGGATCAGAGTGTAGAGAGTTCTATACACTATGCTAAGACTCACAGAGTTATCTTCTGGGAGAAAGCTGGACAGCTTACTCTTAAGTGTTCGGAAGCAGACTGACTTGGGTCCAATCTTAGTTCCATTATTGACTAGCTATAAACCTTACTAGTTACTTACCTTCTTTGAACTTCAGCTTTTTCCTCTGTAATACAGGAATACCCACTTTGAAGTATTGTTTGAAGAAGTCAGTGACAAGACCTCTTGATACCATTCGTTGAAAATGAGAACGAGTAGAATCAGTGAAAATGCATGACTGTCACTGTTACCAGAGGTTATTTACTACCTACCCAGGATTAACATTTTGGCAAGAGAACAGGAATGGTAAAGTGAAAATATAATGGGTGGCTTTGCAAAGAGCAAGGCCAGAAAAACCAGTCAAACCATTACAATAACTCAGAGAGGACATAATAGAGGCTTCACATAGCATTTCACCATCAGGAATAGAGAAAGACAGATCCAAAAATTATTTAGGAAGAAAACTTGTCAGGTCTCTCAGTGGCAACTGAAAGAGGGAGGAAAAGTGGTTCCCAGTCACCAAATTGTGGCCCAACAAAAACAGGAAATCAAAGAGGAAGATCTAGTTTGAGGCAAGATGAATGTAAGATGTCTGTGGGAAGTCTGTGTAGATATAACCACCAGACAAACAGACATAACAGCCTGCAGTTGGGAGCAGGAAATAACTACTTTGAGATAAAAGTCAATCACTTTCTGCTAGGTTAATACAGAATTTTTCTGTATTTTTCCCTCTAAAGTTGAAACTGAGATACTAAAAAAGAAACCCACCCTCTACAATGAAAAGCATCACATAAAATTATATCCAAATCTATAAGTAAAGGGTTCCCATAACTTTGCGAGATTGAATATATAAATTCACCTATAATACCTGTCCCTGTCCTCAGCACATCATTGAGAAGGGCAGTCCTATAATGCTGGCAGGAAGCTCCAAATGCAACAGCTTGAAATTCCCAACACAGCACCTGTAACCTCCAGTGATTCTATTGTTAAGCCATGTCACCCACATGAACACCTCCCTTGTGAGTACAAAGAAGATGATGCGAAATGGACAGGTATCTCTTAGGGTAAGATTGTAAAACCGACTATAAATTTAGTAAAATCAGGACTCACTGTCCACAGGACCAAATTATTTTCCCAATGAAAAAAAAGGAAGTCCTTTCAGCAGTTGTGGATAAGAATGAAAATTATAGATGCACTTAAAAAAAACGATCAACAAAATGAAAAGGCAACCTACTGAATGGAGGAAATATTTACAAATGATATATCTGAGAAGGGGTTAATACCCAAAATATATAAAGAACTCATTCAAGTCAATAGCAAAAAAACAAATAATCCAATTTAAAATGGGCAAAGGATCTGAATAGACATTTTTCCAAAGAAGATATTCAAATGGCCAACAGGTACATGAAAAGGTGCTCAACATCACTAATCATCAGGGAAATGCAAATCAAAACCACAATGAGGTTATCACCTCACACTTGTTAGAATGGCTCGTATCAAAAAGACAAGAGATAACAAATGCTATACTAGTGAGGATGTGGAGAAAATGGGGTCCTTGAGCACTGCTGGTAGGAATGTAAAATAGAACGGCCATTATGGAAAACAGTACGGAGGTTTCTCAAAAAGTTAAAAACAGAAATACGATACAATCCAGCCATATCCAACTTCTGGGTATTTATCTGAAGGAAACAAAATCACTATGTTGAAGAGATATCTGCACCCCCACATTCACTGAAGCATTATTTATAATAGCCAAGCATTATTAATAATAGCCAAGACGTAAGTATCCATCAAAAGATGAATAGGTAAAGAAAATGTGGTATATGGGCAAAGGAATACTATTCAGCCATAAAAAAGGAAGTCCTAAAAAAAAAAAAAAGGAAGTCCTACCATATGCAACGATATGGATAGACTTTGAGGACTTTATGCTAAGTGAAATAAGTCAGACAAGGGAGACAAATGCTATAGATCTCACTTATATGTGGAATCTAAAAACAAAAACAAAACAAACTCACAGAGAAACAGATCATATTTGTGGTTACCAGGGGAATTGGATGAAGATGGTTAAAGGTATAAACCTCTAATTATAAGATAAATAAATACTGGGAATACAATGTACAACGTGATGACGGTAGTTAATATCACTGTATGGCATATTTGAAAGTTGCTAAAAGAGTAATCCTAAAAGCTCAGATTTTAGTAAATCCTAAAAGTTTGGTATCTATATGACGTGTGGGTTATTAACTAAACTTATGGTAGTAATTGTTTTGTCATATATGTATGTCAAGTCACATGCTGTACATCTTAAATTCACACAGTGCTCTAAGTCAGTTATATCTCAATGAAACTGAAAAAAAAATCTGGCAGTAATAAATCTGATTCCATTAACATTTTGTTTCATTTTTTAATTCTTCAAGGACTTCCAAATCATATCATGAAGACTCTATATGGCTAAGTTGGTACTAAAAAAAAAAAAAAAAGAAGACCAGCCACAAAAAACAGGTTGTGAAACTATTATTTTGACTATGACTGCATTAGCAGCATGTTCTGTATCTAGCTGACATGCCGCCTCAACAAGATTTGATGTTCAGATTTAAGCACAAACTTACTTGACTGATTTGATGAAGCTGTCACAGAAATGATAATATGTCTCAATAAATTATATAACATATAAGAAAAATGGACTGTAAGTTAGGTGCTAGAGATGTTAAAAAAAAAAAAGCTGACTGTAGCTCTTAAATTTCAACAAACACAACCTGAGCAACTCTTTCAAATAGTAGCGGCCTGTGTTTTAATTTTTCTTCTCTTTCTTCTAGTTCTTGTCGGTATTCTCTCATCCTTTCCTTTTCACTTTTTCTAAAATCAAATAAAAGGAATGGAATTTTAAAAAGAAATAATAACTTACATATATAACATTTAGCTTAGATGACAAATCAGAAATTAAATTATGAGCACAGCTTACAATTTACCACAATTCTTTCCTAGACTGGTAAATTTTTATGGAATGCAGAATAAAAACCCTAGGTTGTGAGAGCACACATTTTACATCCTGGGAACAGTCTGGATACTCTGATGTTTCTGAAATTTTTAAGACATAATGTACTAAAAATGCTTTAAATTGTCTTGGAGAGATGAATAAATGCCCTCTTGACTCAATTTTAAGTGCAGAAAACCAAGAAAATTTAGTCCAAATTAGGTATCTTCTCTTTAAGGAATTTCTTCTGAAAAACAAGACCCTGCTCTTCTTTTCCCCCCTAATGAGATCTCCCATAGGTTGGTGGCAAAGTTAATTAAATGGGAGCAGGTCAGGGGAAAATAGGGAGTAAGGGAATAGAACATCTAGAGGAAAAGGAACCAAAATACATAAATTCACAGTAAATGTACTTACTATTTGCACAAGATCCTATAATGATTAAAATATGCTTTTTCCTCTATGTAAAACATACTAACTCTACTAAGATAATAAGATTTCATGGATTAGAGAAAATAATTGTACTATAGAAAGATAATTATGCTTAATTATACACAAAATTGGTATTATGAAAAATCCAGTTACTTTCTTAGGGTGAATAGTATATTTCTAAAAAATTTTTGTTCAAGTTCATCAAATTTCTCCCTCTATCATGAATTACACTGATACACATTATAAGGAATATAAACATAATATACATTATAAAGGAATATAATTATTATAAATACTATATATTTAAAAAGTAATACTCATAATTAAAAGCAAATATAAATTTGGGGGGTTATTTATAAATCAGATTAAAAATTAATAAATCATATTACCCAGCTTTGGGGGAGATATTTTCCTACTTAAACATGAACATTTTTACAGAAAAATGTTCCTCTGGAACACTGGTTTTCAAACTTTGTACTGCAGAATTCCAGTGTTCTGTGAAGGGGTTCTGCAAATATTTTTATTTATATTATATTTATTTATATTAAAACTGCAATGAAATGCAACATACATCACTAAACACTTATACACATGTGTTAATTGACACATCACATAATTGGTGTTAATTGACATCAATGTGTTAATTTGTGATATCAGATTTCATGCAGACCTTAGAACAAAGGTCTTTGACAGATCTATTTGTTGAAGAATATTCTGAGATTACATGGCAAACTATTAAAAAAGAGCTTTATCTGTATGAATCAAGATTTTTCGATGTTAACTATACTGGAATTAAAATAAAAACTTAAAAAAAAAGATTTTTCTCAATATTGTACTGTACAATCAAAAATAGTATAAAGAAGGGGCCCGTGGCTGGCTCAATCAGTAGAGCATAGAACTCTTGGTCTCAGGTCATGTCACGTTCAGGCCCCACATTGGGCATGGAGCCTACTTAAAAAAAAAAATAGTATAAAGAAAAAGAAAAGATTACATGCTGACATACGGTTACAACTCTTAACTATGGCCACAATATAAAACGTTTCTGTTCATCAACATGGCATTATGATCCTCACCGTGAGGTAAGGTGAGTGTGAATGTGTATGTGTGTGTATGTTGAGTGTAAGTGATAGCAACTTGAACCCAGAAAATAAAATACTAATTAATCTGTTCATATATTATATATGCTGATTAAAAAAGAAAGTTTGAAAACCAATGATCTAGAGGTTCAGGATTCTTTTATGGTACCTGAGAGATTTGACTCTGGATTTAGACATTTGAGCTAAACTTTGATGTGAGTCATAAGCCTTAGCCCGGATTGTCAGGAGTTTCTGCAACTCTTTCATTCTTTGCTTCTGCTTAGTTAGGATCCGATTTCTCTCTTCTTCCAACATTTTCTTTTCCTCAAGTGATCTCCTGAGGGCAACAAACTAAGGCTTAATTCCCTTTAAGCCAATGAGAATGTTGTTTAGCAAAGATTTAACATGGGGAAAATTCAAACGTTGAAAAAAGGCAACCTTTTGAGAAGGCTCTGACTTGTGAAACAGGAAATCAACAGGCTAACTAATCTTTTCTATCCCTGAAGATTCATAAACTGGAAAATACATTCATTTCTTAGAAGGACACCCTCTGGCAAAATGCTCTATCTAATATAGTAAAATATATTAGCAAATATAATTTCTTCAGGTTTTCAAATTGACCGACATAAAATCAATAGAGCTACAAACACTGTTTTAGCAACCATGAGTCAGCTGGTCCTACATCCTAGTCATTTACCTCGTGGCTTGTGCTCGGCCTCTAGAAGATACTGTGGGCATTGGAGGGTTGCAGGTACAAGGCACAGGCTTTGCACTTGCACTTCCTCCTGATGACTTGTGCCTTGGAGACAGATTAGGCCGTGTTTCTTCTAAATGTTCTACATCTGCTGCAATGTCTGCCAACATTTTCTCTCTTTTAGTGGATGCATTGGAAGCTGCATGAAGATCAGATGGCTTACGGCCAGTTAGGAGTTTTGAACACTTCTGTTCTGAGAGGTGTTTCTGGTATCTCTCAGGAAGGCCTTCAAAATCAGCACTCTGGCACCTAAACTTGTGTTTACACTTCAACTTTTCAGCCTGTTCAGGACACTTGAGCTTCCTCGGAGCACAGCTTCTGGGACCTGACCTAGAAGGCAGAGGGGATGAATTCTGTAAAAGCTCTTGGGCTCTCAGCTGCGTCATAAGGTCTCTAGAGAGCTCTTCTTCTTTTAACTTTTCATTGGAAGTTGAGCCATAAGTAGATCGAGGTATAGGTCGGGCCTTAAATCGATTTGTTTTCTTTTTAGACTTACACAAGTCTCTCAACTGCTTTTCCCGGATTGCTTGCTTCTGTTCCTCCCTTGCAATAAACTTAAACGGCTTCTGTGAGGCCAAAAGAGCTGCTTTGGTTTTTTCTTTCAAACGTCTCCTGCGTTCTTCATTTTGCTTGACTATGTCATGATAAAGGGGGAGAAAGACGAATGCAGGAACTGGATTGGCGCGGAATTTTTTCTTACACTCTGATTCTTCTTCTTGTTCTTTGAGCAGTTGGCGTACCATTTCAATATTGGATTTAGATTTCATGTTCTCTTCTTTTTTCCTCTGTTCCCTAATCATCATTTGAAAAGGCTCAGGTACTGTAATCTTTGGCACCCATTCTCTTGGTTTCTTCTTTGTTTTTTCAACTGCTGGGAAATTAGCATCTTTACACTGAATATAATCTTCAACAGAGAAGTTTGTCCACATGTTGTTGATGAGTTCTTTAGCATAGCTCATCATCCTCTTTTTCTCAGGATACTCTTTTTCTGAGTTGGGCAACTCATCTTCAGAGGAAGACATAATCAAGGAGGAACACTGTCCTAAATCAGGTTCTGAAAATGATGTCATTAACGAGATAGGGTGATAGAAGTTTTTTTCTGATTCAGACCTAAAAGAGAAGAATAATTAAGTTACGCTCTCAGTTGCATGTGACCAAATATAAAAATTAAGAACTATAAAATCAAGGTATAATCAGTTAGAAGATAGGAGCTGGATAGATAGGCCTTATAATTATCACTTTTATTTAGAATAGAGCTAAGAGATGCCTATAATTTATCTAATTCAACTCCCTCTTTTTACAGGGGAACCGGAGGCAACAGAGGCTCCTTGTGGCTAAGCTCTATTAAATTCCCCACATGTTTTCCAGAGTCACCATCTTAAAACATACATCTAGTCATGTCACTCCCCTTCTCGAAACTTTTCTATGATTTGCCATTGTAACAAAGTCTAGATTATAAAGTCCTTCAAGACTAGACCCTGTCTGGGGCGCCTGGGTGGCTTAGTCAGTTAAGCGTCTGCCTTCGGCTCAGGTCAGGATCCCAGGGTCCTGAGCTCAAGCCCTGTGTCAGGCTCCCTGCTCAGTGGGGAATCTGCTTCTCCTCCACCCTCTCCCTCTGACTCTCCCCTGAGCTTGTGCTGTCTCTTGCTCACTCTTTCTCTCTCAAATAAATAAATAAATAAGTCTTAAAAAAAAAAAAAGACTAGTCCCCGTTTACCTTTCCTGTTTCACCTCTTGCCTCTCTCTACCTCCAGTTACCAATCTTAAGTCATATCCAACCACAGGAAGTTCCTCACACACACCATGATTTCTCATGCCGCCATGACTCTGCACACATGGTTTCTGTTGCCTAGAAGCCCACTCCTTGTTTCCTGCATCTGCTACAGCTACTCCTCCTTTAATACTGAACTTGGATATGACAGTTCCATAGAAAATTCCTGCCTGTGTCCCTCTACCAACACCATGACATGATCAATCGCTTCTTCCTCTGTCTCCAAAGCACTGTTACATCATGTTGTATCACAATTTTTGGCTTTCAGCTAGTCTTTGAGCTCCTTAAGGGCATTTTGATTTTTTTTAAAAAGATTTTATTTATCTATTTGACAGACAGAGACACAGCGACAGAGGGAACACAAGCAGGCCGAGTGGGAGAGGGAGAAGCAGGCTTCCCGCTGAGCAGGAAGCCCGATGCGGGGCTCCGTCCCAGGACCCTGGGATCATGACCTGAGCCGAAGGCAGACGCTTAACGACTGAGCCACCCAGGTGCCCCGGGCATCTTGATTTTTGACTCCTTAGTGCCCAGGCAACTTCTGGCACACAGGAGATGCACAATTAGCACTGACCAACTGGATGAGTTAAGGGACCTGCCTCAAGTTTCAAAACAAGAGAGTTCATAGCAGAAATGGGTCCAGAAATTACAGACTATTTTGAAAACCTGAATCAGATTTATGTCTGAGTCCTGAACTCTTTGTGTGTGTGTGTGTGTATAGTATAATTTATTTATTTATTTATTTACTTACTTATTTATTTGAGTAACAGAAATGGGAAAATTTATCAAAGCAAAAAGTACACTCTTGAGATACAAGAGCGGGCACACTCAAGAGAGAGAGCTGTACCCGTACTTTATATTTTTAATGAGCTCAGGTTTGTTGTTGTTGTTGTTGTTTTGTTTTATAAGCTCCATGCCTAGCATGGAGCCCAACACGGGGCTTGAACTCACAACCCTGAGATCAGGACCTGAGTTGAAATCAAGGGTAGGATGCTTAACTGACTGAGCCACCCAGGTCCCCCTGAACTCATGTTAATCCACATAATGTAAAGGGTTTTAAAATTAAATTTTAATATTTATCATTTAAAAATGGCCCAGACTAGGGGTGCCTGGTTGGCTCAGCTGGTAGAGCATGCAACTCTTGATCTCGGGTTTTAAGTTCAAGCCCACGTTAGGTGTAGAGACTATTTAAAAATAAAATCTTTAGGGGCACCTGGGTGGCTCAGTCGTTAAGCGTCTGCCTTCGGCTCAGGTCATGATC